TATATTGAAATTTTAGTCAGTCGTTTATTGATTAACATGCAGAATCGTATTTTGTTACCCTCAAAATTTCAGTCTGGTCTTAATTTATACCTCGCATCTCAGTAAGATTTGAAGTTGCAAGATATTGTACAATAATTGTACATACAATTTTCCAATTATGACCAAACTTCACTTAAGAAAATATGACCTGGTTCACATATGACACTACCACTATTTGGTTGATTGGACTTTGACTTAAATGCTCCCGGTTTGGACCAGATCGCCCAATCCGGTAGTGATGGCGGCGGGTGGTTCGGAGAACCGGTAGCAAAAATCCCTGCCCCCCCCCCCACTATGCCCAGCTGAGCCGCACGATCATCAGAGGCTTTTTTTTTTTACTTTTAAAAGCATTTTTTCTACCACCTCTTCCGACGAAAAAATGCTTTTAAAAGTAAAAAAAAAAAAGCCTCTGATGATCGCGTGACTCAGCTGGGATTGTCAGAGGCTTTTCAAAGCCTTTTTTCCTGCAACCTCTTGGCCGAAGAGGTAGTAAAAAAAATGCTTTGAAAAGTCTCTGATAATCCCAGCTGAGTTGCCTGATTGGCAGAGGCTTTTCAAAGCATTAGAAAAAATGTTTGGAAAAGTTAAAAAAAAAAAAAGTTTCCCCCCCCCCCCCCAGTCACTTTCCCCCCCCCCAAGCCACACCCACAGATCTGGTAGTAACAAATTTTACATTTCACCCCTGCTTAGTATGCTATATGAATACTGAAATTCGTTAAATTTGTTAACTACAGTTATGATTTAGCATAGTCAAACAATGATGGATTTGTTCAGTGCAATACATGAACCAGGTCTATAAGAGACCATGCACAAACATATTCAAGAGACTGCCAAAACGAACAAATGAACCTTAACACCTGCACCATTTCACACATTCATATTAACCATTTCTTTTTTGAAAAACAACCAAAGTTCCAGATGTATGCATCTTCTTATGAACTACAGGTTGGGCCCCTTGCCAAAAAGAGAAGTTAGCTCTTTTTCCATTCTGTATAGTAAAAAAAAAACAAACCAGCAAATCTCCCCTTTTCACTGAGTCAGCGGAGTTGAATTACCATTTTTCTCCACCTCCTCCTTTGGGTAAAGAATAACCAATTTAACGTTCCCTGGAGGAAAACGTGCTTGTTTTCCACATTCCTTCTCATTCTTTTCAAATCATATCATCTACCAAAGATACAGGATCACATCTTATACTATGAAATCATAGTTATGCCTAAATTCCCCCAGGTAGTGGGGGAGGGGTTAGTTTGTGGCTCTAGTGTGGGTGGTTGGGTGTGTAGTGGTTTTTGGTTCTATTGAACCTTGATTCAGTTTTAGATGCTCTTTGTTTTTATATCATTCTGTTTTTGTTTGTTTGTTGTGCAGTTCTTGGATAGGTGGATGGCTACATATATTGTAATAAGTGTAAACCCACCAATTTGATACCCTACATTCCTGTAACTGCCTACGATCTGCCTTATGACTGGCTGGGTAGGCGTGGCTAGGTGGGCATGTGACTGGGTGGGCATGGCCAACTCGATGTCACTCATGTTGAGGGGCGACTCACCAGCCTCTACTCACCCCTCCCCTCCCAGCCACTCCTCACCTGCCCGCCTGGGGCCTTAGGGTCCCAACAGGAAGCAGTTGTTGGAGCTAAGCAGCCACCATGAGAAAGAGTTGGCAAAACAGCTCAGTTCAAATTGGATCTGACCAAGGAGGAGGCTCAGCAGGACCTCACTGAGGACTAGGAGCCTAGGCTTTCCAAGCAGAGGGAAGACCTGTAGGAGTGCAAGGCCAGGTATAGGCGCCTGGAGGCTCAGTGGGCTGAGATGGTCAGCCAGTTCCAGGGCATGATACAGTCCCACTGGAACGAGGCCCTCTGGATCTTCACGAGTGGCGCTTCCCTCCCGCCTTCACCCAAAGCCCAGCACCAGGAGGCTGAAGCAGACCCCAAGTTGGAATTTCTGCCCCCCTCGACTCACACAAAAAGACCCCGAGGGGGGAGACTCTCTGCAATAACACAAGCGTTCATTGCACGTATCCGGCCCAGGGGCCATAATTTGAGGACCCCTGATTTAGTGCAATATAAAAAATGCAAATATTTTTTCTGCAGACCACCAAAATTTTCTCGTGGACCACCAGTTGGTGACCACTGCTCCAAACCACAATGGCTATATGCATTGTGCCAAACACTGAACAAACCACGTGAGTCAATGACTTGTGTGAACCATGTCCATAAATCTTACGTTTTTATCTCTGTATGGTATTTGGAAAATGCTGGGGTTTTCATGAGCTTATACACATACAAGTTCCTCTCCTGTCATACATAAACATGACATAGATCATATTATGAATTTTGAAAAACATTATTCCAGATGAGTCCACTCGAGCAGATGGTAACAGGGGACGCTCGGGAATTCTCAGCTGCAATTCACCAGGCAATGGATAAAAGGCAATATGTAATTGGTTACTTCAGTGCCACCCAGATGTAATGGCTTTAGGTAAATAAAAAATAAGCAGCATCCATTCCCATTAGAACAGATTCAAAGCAGACATAAAGTCCACCTGGAACCTAAACCAGGCAACAAAAAGGTAAGCAGATCACTGGAAGAACTCTAGAGAAGACATCACATTACTTTCCAGCAGGGTGGATTTGATTTAAATTGAGTTGATTTAAATCATGATTTAAATCATGATTTAAATCACTAGTAAAAAGGCTTGATTTAAATCAACTTGATTTAAATCATAATTTTTAAAGAGCAACTGTCATCTCTGCTACTCCTTTGACACTGTTGACTCACCGAGTCCCAGTGTTGCAGAAAATACAGCCTCATGCTACATAACTAAGCTCCATTTCATGCTGAATAAACTAAATTATTTATGTATCTTAAATAGAAAACTCTTAGGATAGATTTTTACCCCAAGTTTTTTATTAAAATAAATTCGATAAAAATAAAAAAAAATCCGATTTAAATCAAAAAAATCCGATTTTTTTGATTTTTTTTAAAAAAATCATTGATTTTTATCCACCCTGCTTTCCGGCTACTTTGCTTCTTCCAGTAGGCGCTTTTAAGCACCTGTATGGAAAGCAGAAATTCAGTACCACTTCTAAGACCAATTTGGGCGGGTGGATCAGTTCCGGGCTTATGGAAACGCTCACGCACAGCCGGCTCTGCCAGCGTGTCAAGCGGCAGGGCAACAACTCCGAAGAGCTGCCCACAAACATAGGCACATATCGCGGGTTGCGATCTATGAAGCCTTCAGTCAGGAATTTAGTTTTTCTTTAAAGGGCCGGGCGGCAGGCCGGCACCGCAGCGAAGCCAAACCGACGAGCAGCTGCCTCTCCCGCCCAATTTAGCTCCAACAGGGCTCCGCCTGTCTGTGTCCAGGCAGGGCAGGACACAGTGACTCACGTCACACTCGTTCAGCCGAGCGCGCACACGGCGCAATATTAGGCGAGGGGAACGGGGCGGACTCGGCCGCGCCCAAAGGCCCTGAGCAGAGCCGGACGGGAGGGTGGGGGAACCAAAACCGGCCGGCCGAAGATTTTTAAGAGCCCCGGAGGGTCGTCGTCCTTAAATTGCCCGCTGCGCAGACTTCTCTCCTGCCGCACAAATTCCCCCTTTCCGAAGACTCGTCGCGAATCTAGGAAGGGCGGTCGCGCGAACGCAAACACCCCCCCACCCCCCCCCCCCCACTCCTCTCCCCCAACCGGACGCTTTTCACACGTGCTGGATTGCAACTTGCAAGCGTGTGGGGGGATGAAGGGGGGAGAGGCGTAATCCAAAGCAGCTCGAAAGGAACCGGGCCCTCCCCGTTTGGATGGCTGGTAAATCGCATGGGAGGCATTCCCCGAGAGACGACTGCACATACTCAAATTGAAACCGGACGACGGCGGAGGGGGGCGGAATTGATGGACCGACAGCAGAGGGTGGGGAAGGGAAGGCAGAGGCCAAAGTGCAGGGAACTCCCCAGGCGCGCGCGCGCACGGGGCTTCCGGGGATGAGGAGAAATTGCTCTCCAGGCCCCTTCCCGGTTTTGTTTTTTTGCTTCGCTCCGGCCTGTTGCGCTCCCCCTTCCCTCTAGTTACATATCTACCCTCGACTCCGCAGGCTAACTTAACCGGATAACTTTAAGTCCTTCCTCCTCCGCTCCGCTTCCAGCACCGCCCTCTTAACTCTACCCTTCGGTAAAAGTCTCCTTCTCTCGCGCTAGGGCGTTTCCCGCTCGACTCCGGAGTTTTCAAAGGCCCAATTTAGCCCTCGCGGTAAACAAAACTTAACAGAGCTTGGAGGCTTCGGGGTGGGAGAGCAGCCCGAAAAGCATCCGCTTTTCCCCCTCAAGTTTTCCTCAAGAGCGGCTCCTGACCAAAAAAAAATACGCATGCCCGGCGCAGCTGCTGTGGCTTGGTTTTTCCACCTTAATGGAAAAACTTTTTTTGGCAGGGGTGGGAGAAAAACGCAAAAGCTCCTGAACAGCAACTGAGGGCATTTTAAATGAGATTCTCTCTGGAGTCTGAATCCCTGGAAAGAAACTTCCCGCCTCCCACATTCTGCGGACGAAGCAGAAGGGGCCACGCAACTGCTCTGACAAGCCAGCTGGGGCCTCGCGTTCTTCGTGGGGGGGGGTGTTCTGTGTGGGGGAGCGAATGACAGATTTCTCTTCCTCTCTAACGCTGCTTTTGCCACTTTGCTTTTAACCGCTTCCTCTTCGGTTGCCTCAGAAGCCCCGCCGCTTCTCACAAGGGGCTAAACCGCTTAGAGAAGGCTGGAAAGCACCATGAAGCGGTATATAACTGCTATTGCTATTTTCACGTGTTAAGAGCAAAGAAATGCCACCGCCCTCCTCCCCGAAGGGAGCGAAAATCCACTCGGTTCCCCCCAACTCAGGAGCGTTCGGCCGTCGCCTTTGCCCGAACCCCCCCCCAATTCCTTCTTGCCTCGCGCGGCTCGCTTCCCCACCCTTCTCCGTTTCCCTCTTACTATTTCTGCGAAGAGTAGCATTCCCCTTTGGGAGCGGATGAGGCTGGTAAATTGATCCATGCACCCCTTGGAGGAACCACCGGACGACTCCATGGCAACGGCGGGATGCCCCTCTTTCGAAGGGGGCAAAACGTCGAGTTCTTCTTCTCTCTCTTTCGCGGGCGACTCCTGCAAACCAGCCTCCCTTCAAGCGCGGGTTCGCGGAGCTGGGCGAGGGCGGGGAAGCCTGTGGGCGAGGTGTGGCTGCTGTCGAGCTGGGCACGGCTCGGGTTGGGGTTTTTTTTTTTTTTTTACAGCCGCTGTTCCTTTAAGGACAGCCGGAGAGGGGAAGGCGGGCTGGCACTTAACTGAAAAATCAAACTGATGCTGGAAATGGGCGGCTGGGCGCGGAGTTGCTGGAAGGATCGCGATTCGAAAACGGTGATTTCTGCGGCCGCCTCTGAATCCCTTTGGGAGAGCTTCTAGCTGCGAAATCCCAGGTTTTGTAGGTGCATTTACTTCCTTGAGGAAGCCGCTTCCAATCCCCGATCATCTTCCCACTTCAGGCGCAGGTTAACTCCACGTGCGGATGAAACGTCTAACAGAGGCGGAATACTGTGTGTTGCTCAGCTTTTAACCCCAGAAAAGGGAGAGTAACAGTAACAGAGTTGGAAGGGGCCTTGAAGGTCATCTAGTTCAACCATGTGCGATTTATGCTGCTAACTTTTTTCTCCAAGGCAAGACATCTATGCATTTAATAGGGAGCGGCAGGCTGAAATTCCACAGATGCTGCCCCAGTTTAAGGGACACATAGACAAGGTCTCCAAGCTTTCCCCTGACCAGCTAATCTCTCTACTTGTCACCCTTCTGGCCCTGATGTCCTTCCTACATGAGATGCTCTCTTCCCTTTGTTTTTCTTTTGCATTCTTTCTTTTGCATTTTTTCTTTTGTTTTCTGTAAATTCTGTGAATAAATTGGGATGTGTCTTGAAAGCAGTCCTGTGGAGCATTTTGATTTCTACCAAGTTTTCAGAAGACAGTAAGACAAATTTTGCTCACGTAAAATTACACTGCTTCCACATAGTTTGAATTCCACACATTCAAACTGAACCACACCACTGACCAAAACTTGTTAACTTGTTGAGGTTAACTTTGGAGAGCCTCCTGTATATGAAAGATAAGTGATTGGTGGCACTGCCTGTATTTTCAGTTTTAATACCAGGTATTTAATACCAGACATTACCAGGTAGAAGGAAAATGTACTCTGGAAGTTGCTGCTAATAACTAGTGGTAAAATTGGTTTTATATTTGCACAGTATATTTGTTTGTGGCTTGGGATGCTGTTTGAATCAAGACTTGGACCTGTGTGTCATACAGTGGCTTAGTCAAATAAGTCAAATATTCAGCAACCTATGAGTTGTTATATTGGGAAAACAGACCTTATAAGGCACTTCTGAATCTTCCTATGATCACTTGGGTGTGGGAGAGGAATCCCTGAGGAAAAAAAATAGATTTTTTTTTTAACTTTAGCTATTGACTGAGTTGGATTAAGTCATTAACTAAACAAGCTACAGTTTAAGGACTCAGACTGAAAGAGTCTTTGGAATTTCTGATTTTTCTTTCTCATTTGCTACAGTTTTATGGTTTCATTTATAAAAGTCCCTAAATGAAGCCTTTCTATGTGGCTCACATAGTTCTTTTCAATTGATTTAAGATAAGCTTTGTTTCTGTGTGCATTCACACCACCTATTCAAATTGGGCCCTTCTCCATCCTATCACAGGTTTGTAATGCATTTTGGTGGCCGCCTTGCCAAGTTCAGCCAACATAATTCTCCATTGGCTCTTGCCAAATGGAGCCTCTACAACTTCTCATAGCTTAAAGCCTCACAGTGTTAACTGGTCCTTATGCCCTGGCAGTTTCCTCTGCTTTTCTAATTAATTTCATCTTTATTCCTGTTTCAAACAGTAGCCAATACAAAGTATCAAGATAAAAGGTCCTTTGAGATGAGCTTAGTTCCTGATAACTTCATTTTACTAGCAGCAAAATGGAAATTATTTACCTTTGCCTTCGTATGATATTTTTTTTGTACTCTGCAGCCTAGTCTAACCTATTTTAGCTCTAGAATTACTTGGTGGCCTCCCATCCCAATAATATCCACATCTAGGTTTACTTTCTGAAATCAGTCAAAATTAACTAGATGTGGCCACTTGTGTTCAAAAGTTGAGAAGAAATTGGGGGGGGGAAACAAGAAAGCAAATATTACTTCAAGCGATGGTCAGGAAGGGAAAATCATGGTCAGAAATCCTGTTTTTCTGATACTCCCTGAATGATCTTGGACTAATTGTTGCTACTCAACCTACCATAGTTGGCAGACAGTAACAAAGTTAATTTGTTGCCACAAAATGTCAATCTGCATTTGTGAAAATTTTCCTGAATCCCAATACAATGTTGTTAGGGAAAATCTGAACTGTCAGCTGCTCCCAAGAAATTAAATAATGTAAGCTACTGATAATAATACTGAGTTTGTTCCTTAAAAGAGAAAGGACATAAATTACATTTGGAAAATCTACATGTAAGGAATGGATAATATGGTTTATTTACATAATACAATTTAAAATAGATCCACATTGTGTGTTCTTTACGATATTAATAAATCACATTTTCCAGATCTCACTCTTGGCTTTGCTGGCTGGGGCTGATGGGGTTTTTGCTTCAACAACATCCAGCAGCCTGCATCATGTGCACCATGGGAAATGTAAGAAGAAGCAAAATAGATTCAGTGCAAGTAGATAAAGAAAAGGACATCCATGTTTGGGACAGAAGTGCCAGAATTTGATTACTTGAAGATTTCCCCTGTGTTGATGGATTGGGAAGAGGGAGAACTCTTTTAAAAGCAGGAGTGTCCAACTGTGGCAAGTGTAAGACTTGTGGACTTTAACTCCCATGCTGTCTGGGGAATTCTGAGAGTTGAAGTCCAGTAATCTTAAAGTTGCCAAGCTTAGACATCCCTCATTTAAAGCATCTCCACAAAAGTGGAGCTTCTTTGAGTCTGGCTTTCAATTCTACATTCTCCATCCTAGAAACCTCACTACACTTAAGTTTGGCTGAAAGCTTTGAAAAGTGTTATTTCTGCTCAAAGGTCCAAATTCCCAATGCTCAGAAGCTACCCTATAAAGGAGAGATCGGCAGCGACTTCTATCTTGGGTCTCATCTCTTAACAGCTCTTCCTCCACCCCACCCTTCCTTTGGTCTGCTTGCCTGCAGTGCCATTCTCCCTGGTCTGTTTCCTTTACCCTATCACAGCAAGTTTTTTTAAATTAACAAACTGATTTTTTTCTTAATGTTTTCTTAAAGAGAAATTTCCAATATTCTATAGGCTGCATATATTGACATCACTCAAAAGTTTAGGAAAGCACAGTGCATATTGCAACCTGATCATTTGTAGGTTTCTTGTAATATGATCATATGTAGGTTTCTTGTAGCATGCTATGGTTTTCAATATTATAATTAGCTTCTATAATGGTACCTTTAGCAACTGCCTGTTGGCAGATATTGATATTATTTGATGATGGGAGGATATATTTTTCTAGGTGTCAAATTCTTGCTGTTTAATATAGATAACAGGTCTTGATCGAGGTCTTTTACCTGATGGTATTTAACATCCAATCTAATAAAATAGGGGGGAGAGGTTTGACAATTGCCTATCTTAATTTTCTTTCCTCGGACTACAAACTGAAAGCCGTATGCGGCTTCTGAAAGAAAATTTTAGCATCACTCATTTGTGAAGGCTATGCAAGTTTAATTGGAGGGCAATTTCCACTGCATTGAATAAAGCTTCTCCATTCAATCCTAGGATCCAGGAAAGCCCTAACTCGGAGCCTTGCCCCTGTTCAGCCTTTGCTCCTCAAGTTGTAGCTAGGAAGAAGGATTGCTACCCAACACAGAATTAAATGTCTTTTTAAGATGATTTGATTTCAGCATTAGACTGCAGCCAGTTTGACTAATTGTCTGTGGCAGAAGCAAAACAAACACTAGTTTGTCAGTTTGTAATTATTGTTATTTTTTAAAAAAACACACACTGACAGTCAAGAGATTATAGAAGTCCCAGTGGAATTCGTCTATTGGGAAAGACTGATGTAGGCCTTTGATGTGGGTTTTGTCAAGCTTCCTCTTGCTTTATTATCCATCTGTTTCTTGGCAACTGATGGGCTATCTTTTCTAATGTGCTTTTAAAAGCCTCCTGTGACACTTACATTATACAGGCAGACTTTTCCCTACAACTGTATCTTTGTTCCAACAAAACCTCCAGCTGCTTAATCGCTGTGTATTATACCCGTAGCTGTTCTTAGGAATAATCAGATGAGCAGGAACAAATAGATGGCAATTGAAGCAGATTTTTAAACTCTGAAGCACATTCTCTGAAATAAAAATAAGGGTCTTCTATTCCTTGGGAAGCTGCTTGCCTGTAAAATTTATGCCAGCTTCTCTTCATCATCAAAAAGAGAACATATCTGGAATTTTGTTTGATTTTGATCCTATCTTGGACTATTGTACAGTACCAGATTTGGGCTAACAAACATTTGGATGATCACAAGATGGCAGCAAAGAATCAGGTTTTCTGTATTTCCTTTCTGCCCTCTAGTGATGTCCCAACACTGATAGTCTAGATGTGATTGTCGTACAAAGAGAAAAAGGACACGTCAGCCACAATAATTTGTGAAGCGATATGCATATACATGTTTCTAAGGGAGTAAGCTCATGGCATAGGAATACATACAACGCCTGCATTAAAACTATGGATATAAGGGCTGACTGAAAAAACTGCCCAAGAGGACATATGTGCAAGAATGAAAGAATTTGTAATGTGGGAGAAAAGGCACACTATGCTTTTTAGGATGTCTTCTCCAAAGGTCATTGTGCAGATGTGCTGGACCCTTCCCCCCCCCCATGTTGGCTGAAACTTCTCAGAGTTGTAGTTCCATGAACCAGAAGGTTTGGGAAGACTCTTCCTTCAGAGCTGTCCCACATGAGGGAAATTAAGGTTATTTATTCCCCTCAGTCAAAGGGACCAGAACTTCTTATTTATTCACACTGGTTGGGATTCCTGTCTGGTCATATTCCGGCAGATAGGCACGGAACTGCAAAAGCTGACCAGAAGGCTTCAGGCAAGGGGCTGAGGCAGAGGTGAAATCTAGCAGGTTCTGACAGGTTCTGGAGAACCGGTAGCGAAAATTTTGAGCAGTTTGGAGAACCGG